AACCATGGTGAAATATCACCTTGTATCTGTTAGAATGGCTACTATGAAAAATATAAAAGATAACAACTGCTGGCAAGATTAGAGAGAAAAGGGGACCCTTGTACACTGTTGGTGGAATTGTAAATTGTTACAGTCATTATGGAAATCAGTATGAAGTTTACTCAAAAAATTAAAAATAGAACTACCATATGATCCAGAAGTCCCACTTCTGAGTATATATCCAAAGGAAATGAAACAAGATCTTGAAGAGATACAGGTAATCCTATGTTGGTCACAGAATTATTTACAACAGCCAAGCTATGGAAGACATCCCTAAGCATCAACTGATGGATAAAGAAAATGTGGGTATGTACATGCCCATACACACGATTTATGGCTGAATACTATTATTCAGCCATAAAAAAAGAAGAAGAAAATCCTGCTATTTGCAAAAACATTGGACAGACCTTGAGGGTATTATGCTAAGTGAAATAAGTCAGACAAAGAAAGACAAACACTGTGTAATCTTTCTTATATGTGGAATCTAGAGAAACCAAAGTTACAGAAACAGATCAAATTGAACTAAGAATGGGACAAATGGGAAGGCAGGGCTGGGAGAAATGGGTGTAGGTGATGCAAAGATATAAATTTCTAGATACAAGATAAATAAGTTTTATGGATATAATGGTGATTGTTGTTAATAATGCTGTATTATATTCTCTTCTACTGACGTATAGTTGATTTACAACTTGTGCCAATAAATGTAAGAATTTAGATAAGATGGACACATTTTTCGAATGATACAGACTACCAGAGCTCATTGGTGTATATCAGAGCTCAATGGCCTAGATTATTTCACTGATTAGTTTGTGTGAAAAACTTAAGGAAGAAATAATACGAATCCTATACAAACTCTTCCAAAAATCAGAGGAATGCAGAGTCAGTAAATGGAAAGCTTGCCTCCAGCTTCCCAGTGTATCAAAAGCGGATCTCTTATACACTTACAAAAGCACAGGTCTGCTGAGAATAAATGCAGATTAAGTGAAAAGAAAGAGCATAAACTATTTGCAAATATCCTTCACCAACTTGGCCGTATTCAGTTTGAAACCATCACTTCCAAACAGCTTCTTCATTGTACCTTTTGGTAAACCGTACCAGGGTGACCAACCACCCCAGTTCGCCCCAGACTTCCCCAGCTGTGGCATGAAAGTCCTGCATTCTGGGGAACCCCTCAATCAGAGGAATATCAGAACGATGGCCACCCTCTCTGACCCTGAATTTCATTGCTCTATAAATGCAAGACTTACTTTAAACCTCAAGAAAATGTCTGCTTCTTTCAGTTGACTTCCACAAATTCCAAATAAAAAGAGAATTTTAATTATAAAGAAGAAAATATCAACATAAGGGTATCATTCTTTTGTTTGTTTGTTGGTTTTATATACTCTATTCCTCTACCCTCACTGGATCATTTAAGGGTATCATTCTTATCCTTATTTCACAAACTCCCAGCCCTCCTCTTTTCAAGTACTAAACGTGAATTATTTTTTTAAAAAACTCAACGGCAAAAAATGAAAACCTATAAGGACAATTCTTACACTTCAAAATTTAGAACACAAAGAATTGTTTTTCTGTGACTTTAAGAATTTTGTTTTAACAAGAGGCATCATGAAGACAGTATTTTCAGTCTTAAGAGACATTGGTAAGATTGATTACACTCAGTCCAAAAGGTATGACTGTATTTACCCCTTGTTTCCACCAGATGGCAGGCATGAGCGCTACTTCTGGGCTTCTGCCTAAGATTCTGAATTGAGTTAGATTTTTCTGAGTTCAAAGTCATAAATTAGAAATGTCCTTAGAGTGACCTATGGATGTAAATTACCAGAATTTATCATCTGCTGTTACATATGTGGGATCTTTCCTGATGTCCTGCCTTAGAGAGTCATTTATTATGTGTGTTCAAAAGGAATTTTTCCTTTGAGGCCCCACAATGTGGTCACTGCAGTGGAAAGCCTGTTTCCCATGCTTAATGACATACCACTCTCTGAGAAAAGGACAAAGATGAAGAACACTTGGAGAGATATGAGAAGGAGCAAGAGGCAGGGGCTGCTTAATACATTCCATGTCTCAATATCTGTTCTAATCGCTGAAATGAGTAAATTGAAAGGTACAAAAACACAGCATCTTAAGAACTTCCAATCTTTGCTGACTTTCTAAGTCATCAACCTTGAGTAACACCAATCTCTATCTGTTCTTGAAACAAATTTATAAGTTCACTTCTTCCCATTTGACATGTTATGGAGCTGTACGTGGGGCACAATTTATTCACACTACACTGAGATATACAAAGAAAATATAGCTTCTTTATTTTTCTATTATCTAGGCCACCAACCCCCACCCTCCTTAGGGGTAAAACAAAACTTGAAACTTGCTTAAAATGAATACCCAGTCACTTCTCATTATGCAGCCTATTTTCTGTTTGCAGTATTCTTCGCAGATAAAAGTCTTTCCAAATGTTTCCCCTCACTCCCCTCCCTCTCCCTCCCCAAGGTGGCATCTTGTGATGCCATAAAGAAAATTCCATCCTTCTGGAGACACTGGGGTGTCCCTAGGTCCCTACCGGCCTCAGAAGTGAGAGTGCGTTTTACGCACCAGATCAGATTCACCATGCTGAAGTTAATTCTCTGCATCCCCTCAGGACTGGACAGCCCTCCCTGCTGATTTAGCAGCGTCAGCCCCAGCCCTTTTCTCAGTTAAACATGCTTGCTGAGGGGGAGTGTTGATCCCCAAGCCACATGGTCCACTGGGCAGCCTTCAGTTTCAAGATAACCTCCCCCCTCCCAGTGCCCTCCTGCAGCAATGTTCCTGACAAAGTCACCGGCCTTTCTCACAGATCATCCCAGCCATCTAGATGCCGTCCACCCCGCGTGCCAAGTGAGGGGTGTCCAAGATGCAAAGTCAGGCTTCTCCCCCGAGCCGAGCTCTCCCTGGACATCTCCTAAGCTGCAGCTGCTCTTGGGATGCCAAATGGGAAAGAAGCCACGGACCCTCTGCATTTGGCTTCAGCCTCCACAGTGGGGCTTCTCTGCTGGCTCGGAGGGTAAAGAATCTGCCCGCAATGTGGGAAACCTGGGTTTGATCCCTGGTTTGGGAAGATCCTCTGGAGAAGCAAATGGCAACCCACTCCAGTATTCTTGCCTAGGAAATCCCGTGAACAAAGGAGCTTGGGGGGCTACAGTCCATGGGGTCGCAGAGTCGGACACCACTGAGTGACTGACACTTTCCACTCCGCAGTGCAGTGGGCACACACACTGGGGTTTCGTGGGCTGTGGTCGGGAGGCAGGGCGGCCCGGCCGTGCTGGATGCCTGATGGACGCCTCCCTGGCTGCTCCCTCTCGCCTCTCCTGGTCGTCACCCAGCCCCCAGCTAAGCAGGGGCAGACTCACTCTTCCCCTCTGCCCTGCCTGGGGCGTGCCAGCGTCCTTTCCAGTTCTGGGGGCCGTGACGCCTCCCTGCTCAGCAGCTGTGTCTAATCGTGACTTGAGGACTGCTTTCTCCCACTGCACCTCACTCTTGAAATGTAAAAGTTAGGTCTTTGGAACATAGAAACCCCATCTCTCTGTCTCAAATGCCTTATATCCGAGACCTTTGAGATGTTAATTCTTTGTTCTCTCTCGTGTCATTTTTTCCTTCCCTGGGGAAATCGCTTCCTAGTTCACTGTATTCTCTGGGTTGAAGTTAAAGGAAATAAGGTTTAAGGGACAAATTAATATAAATTCTTTTCAGATTGAAAGTATTATCACTGTGATAAGGGCTAAGAACTCCAGGTGTAAAGTGTTTGAAACAGGACTTGGCACACACAGATATTATTATTGTATATAATATTATATAGTAATAATATTATCATCATATAATTATTACATTATTTTGTGATATATATTTTATATGTTATTATTTGATTATATTATTATCAATATTATTACTGGATGCCACGTAAAAGCAGGCCTGCACAGCAGAAAACAAAGTAAATTGTTATGTTGGGAATAATTATTAGAAAAACTTACTAGTAAGACACAAAATAGCTTTTGAATTTTAAAAATGTTAAAAATATGGAATGTGTTGTAGGGGGAGTTAAGCATGAAATCAGAATATACTTTCCATTTGTGTTTGTGAAAAGTTGATGGGCCAGTTCAGCATCTGAAACATGTTAATCCCTATTTTTCATATTTTGATTTGGATCAGATGGCTGATGTTGTATACCTCATAACAAAACCAGCACATGTCCTAGCTTCTCTCAGATCAGCATAAACAAAGTCACTGCTTCATCACATCAGAAAATAAGGAACAACAGGAGACATAAAGGATGTTAAAGTGGCTACCATTGGCAGCTGAAACACAATTGTTGTGAAAGAAAAGTACTGACAGAAAACCATGGTCATCATCATGGTGGAGCCTGTTTTGGTGGAAAAGACAGAGGAAACCTATGCTGTTAGTGGCAGTAAATAGAAAGTTGCTTCAGCCACGAGTTTTATGATTGAAACATTCAAATTGAAACGTACGTGTCGTTTCTGTTTTCTCTCAGTGTGACAGCTGCCAGCCCTGGACCATTATGCAGACAGGCCCGTGTGAGAATCTGCTGGGTGAGGCAGTATTAACCTCTTTGACTCTGATTTTATTAACTAGTGGCTCCTGTTTCTTCAGTTAATGCAGATTTGGTGTTAATATTTCCAGCCTTCCAAGGGACGCGATTATGGGTGCCTCCTAACCGTTGAGAATAATTACATTGTTTGCGGCAAAGTACCTAGTGTTTTAGAAGTCAATAAGACAATCTGAGTATATAAGATTAAAGTAAAAAAGCAAGTAGGAAAAGAAGGAAAAAGAGTTTCCAGCCATTTTGATGTTTTGAAGGTCTGTCATCTTAAAATAACAGAACCATTGTGGGGGGCCTGCGTTTTCAAGGTTTGGACTTCATAAGAGCCCTCCCAGGTTAATTGTTATGACACCTTTCGCCATCCCTTCATCAGCCTGAGTGCCTCACAGGACTTCTTGGAGCCACAGGGTAGAAAACGAAACAGACAGCGACGGCCGCGGCCAGTAATTCAGCAGCAGCAGGACGCTCCCAGCAGCGTGGCCAGAGCCCCCGCGAAGGCAGGATGCCCAAGGGGTGCTATTCCCTGTTGTCTGGGCCTGCAGAAGACGATTCTGGCGGGGCTGAGAGCTTCCTGTGTCCAACTGTTCCTCCAAGTGCTTTTCAAGGCTCCACAGGGCCCAGAGGTTCTCTTGCAATGCCTCAGCGGCCACTGTGAGGATGTAGGTGAGCAAGGTTTATATGTCTGGCTCCTGGTTATTCTGAGGAGAGCACTCTTCTGTTTGGAAAACAGTTCAAAGCCATTATTGTAAGCCCTGTTGTATAATCACAGTACAGGGAAGGGAAACCAAGCACCTACCCTTCTCACGGCCTTTCCCATCCTCCAAGCTGGTGTGAACCGAAAGCTTATGCTTTGAACCTTTAAAAGATACTGTTTTTCAGTTTCTCAGTTGTGTCTGACTCTTTACGAGTCAATGGACTGCAGCATGCCAGCCCTCCCGGTCACTCATCGTCTCTCGGAGTCTGCCAAAGCTCATATCCATTGAATCAATAATGCCATCCAACCATCTGATCCTCTACCACCCTCTTCTCCTTCAGCCCTCAATCTTTCCCAGCATCAGGGTCTTTTCCAGTGAGTCAGCTGTTCGCATCAGGTGGCCAAAGTATTGGAGCTTCAGCTTCAGCATCAGTCCTTCCAATGAGTATTCAGGGTTGATTTAAAAGATTACTGAGCTGTAAAAACAACTATAACAGAGTGCACAGAAATGTCTTCATAAGCATATTTTTCAAATAAAAATAATACCTAGAATCCAAGAGGTACGCACAAGGTGCTATCTGTCTCCTGGGCATATTTGAATAACTGGGAAACTAAAAAAAAAACAAAAAGAAACTAGGCTCCCAACAGAAATCAATCCGGAAAGGAGTCCAGGAATTAGCAAGTTTTAAGTTTCTCAGATGGTTCTAACATACAGTGGAGATTGAAACCATGGTACTACAAATATACAGAGAAACGTATATTCACTCAGAGAACGGAAAAACAAATATGCCTCTTAGTGGGTCCTGCAGCTTCCAGACACCCAGAGGGCCCCCAAGCCCCTGCTCCACCTGAAGGCCACTGAGGTGGCAGCTGTTACTCCCCAAAGTTAACAGGAGCAGTTCCCATCCCTATATCTGTCTGAACACTTTACCTTTTGCTTTGCCACAGTATTTCCAAAACTTCTCAGCTTAAGACTCACCAGAAAAAAAAAAAAAAAAGGACTTACCAGATAGACTCATTACAACTAAAGACTCCAGGCTCTCCTCCTCCAGGCTCCAATTCTACAGAGTCTACGCTGCAGCCTGGGGAGCTGTACGTTCAAAACACCCAGGGGGGACTTCCCTGGCAGTCCAGTGGTTAAGACTCTGAACTTCCAGTGCAAGGGACGTGGGTCCCCTGACCAGGGAGCTAAGATCCAAAATGCTGCAGGGCATGGTCAAGAAATTTAAAAATTTTAAAAACAAAAAATACCCCAGGTGATGCTTAGGATTTGGCAGGCAGGGAACCCTGCTCTGGGATCTAAATTGCTAACATGGCCTCTTACGCCAGTCTTCCAATTTCACCCAGTGTCAGCCCATCACACACCTCGTTTCTAGAACAATCTTCCCACATCTTATATCCCTTATGCCATTCTATGCGGCATATGCATATTATGTGTGTGTTCATCTTAGCAGAGCCTAACTACACATTCTTAGGTTTTTTCATTAATTAATTAACCTAAATACTCAGTTCAGTTCAGTTCAGTCACTCAGTCATGTCTGACTCTTTGTGACACCATGAACCACAGCACACCAGTCCTCCCTGTCCATCACCAACTCCCAGAGTTTACCCAAACCCATGTCCATTGAGTTGGTGTTGCCATCCAACCATCTCATCCTCTGTCGTCCCCTTCTCCTCCTGCCCCCAATCCCTCCCAGCATCAGGGTCTTTTCAAATGAGTCAGCTCTTCATATCAGGTGGCCAAAGTATTGGCGTTTCAGCTTCAACATCAGTCCTACCAATGGACACCCAGGACTGATTTCCTTTAGGATGGACTGGTTGGATCTCCTTGCAGTCCAATGACTCTCAAGAGTCTTCTCCAACACCACAGTTCAAAAGCATCAATTCTTCAGCACTCAGTTTTCTTTATAGTCCAACTCTGATATCCACACATGACCACTGGAAAAACCATAGCCTTGACTAGACGGACTTTTGTTGACAACCTAAATACTAACATACTTAAATCTCATTGACTCCCTCTGGGAATGCAGGAAGTGGGACTGGGAATAGGGGACATCGGTCTGGTCTTAAAATCCCAGAACATGGAGGTTGGAAAGTCCAAAAAACAATGACCCAACGATGATAAAGGGATGGAGCCATATTTGGAAGTCAAGCAGACAGGCCAGCAGGCCAGCCCGGGGCCTGCTAGCGTACCGCCGGGAAGAAGAGGTGACAGCGAGAAGTGAGGAGAGGCACGGACGCCTGCGCACACTTGCTGCTGACTGCTTCACAGGCATTAACCATCGGAGCCACGTGGTATGTGAGGGGTGTGCTGCTGAGGCCCTGAGGTCCACAGGGGGAGACATGGCGAGTATTTAGGTTCAGTAACTTGCGCAATGACGCACAAGTGATACAGACCCACGAAGCAGGCAGAGACCAGGCAGCCTCCGCACCCCTGAGCGGTACTGCCTCCCACGCACAGAGAACAAGCCGGCTGCCGGGGTCAGTTCCCTCCACCTCTTGCCCTGCTTCCAGAGGAGTGAACATGTGACCCACAAAACCCCCAGGCTTGGGCTGGAGGCCAGTCTTTCAGGGGGGCGCCCCGGTGTCTTCTCATATTCCTCTACTGTTCCTTGTAGGCAGAGGTTCAAGGAAAATGACAATGAAACCCAAAAACAAAACAAACACAGGTGTTTCTACTTTTCTGGGGGGTGTGAAAGGAATCTTTTAAGAAATAGACTGTAACAGAAGGTACAGTGGGAAACAAATAAACTGGAAGCTGAACACCCCAAGACGTGCCAGACCGTGGGCTGTGGGATCTGGATTAAGTACTCCCCTCTCTGAACTGTGATACTTCGTCTTAAATGTAAGGATGGTATTACCAAAAATGGGGATCAACAAGTCATAACCAAGGGCCAGATCCAGCCCCCTTGGACTATTTTTAAAGGATTCTTTGCAGATAAGAATAATTTCTATGTTTTTTAGAGTTGTGAAAAAGAGAACATAAGAGAGAGAGAAAGGAATAAGATTCAGCCATGCCAAACCTAAAATATTTACTATCTGGCCCTTTAAAGAAAAAATTTGCTAACCCCTGACCTAAAAGTAAGATGGTACCATCTGCCCAGCTATCATAAACAACAAGGCCAAGATGAGTTGCAGATCTGTATTTTAAAGTAGGCTCTCTCACTAGCTAATTGACTATCTCCCAGGCAGCCTCTCAGCACTGAAATTCAAACTTGTGCTTCAGCAAAATTTCAAAGGACTACAGGGTCACTAACAAATGAGACAGACGTCAAAGACTTATTCTTCAAGAGGCAAAGATCTGTTCCGTGTTGAAACTTCCTAAATGATTGCTATGCATGGGGTCTAACAGAGGTCTTGAAACAGAAGAGAGAGGACTTGGAATGCATTATCTTTCAAAATGTCACACAGAAGCATAAACAAATAAAATAGGTAAACTTTGGTTGTAGGGTCTGCAATGAGATGAGCTGAACCCTCACTTGACCTGCTCCAGCAGGGCTGCTCTGAGAGCTCCCTGAAGGCCTGTTTAGCAACCACTGATGGAGAGAAAAAGGTTGCACTAGCATCCAAAGGGGCTTTAGAAAATTCTCACCTCCCCAGCACTTTAAAATCTTTAAAATCTTTAAGATTTTATCAAGTCCCATTCCCTCTAATCCAATTTTCTCAGTTTTAAAAAGGTGATCTAAATATCTTCTAGAATTGTTTTTGACTAGTGTTGATATATATATATGCATATATAACCAAAAAGAATATTCTTCATATACATATCATAGAATTATGTACATAATTTGGGAGTTCCCTGGCAGACCAGTGGTTAAGACTTCACCTTCCAATACAGGGGGGTGAGTTCAATCCCTTGTCAGGGAGCTAAGATCCTACATGCCTTGCAGCCAAAAAAACAAAAATATGAAATAGAAGCAATATTGTAACAAATTCAGGAAAGACTTTAAAAGCGATCCACATCAAAAAAAAAAATCTTAAAAAAAAAGATAATTATGTATGTAATTTAATTTTGTTCAAATTTTGAAATATATATAAATTATGTAACATTGTACATTGGTACATATTATGGTGTCATTAATTAATAATAAACATTTAAAGTATGTATAGCTTTTATAATACATATTTCAAAATTTGAACATATATTTGAACACAATTTGAAATATATATATAAATTATATAACATTGTACATTGGTACATATTATGGTGTCATTAATTAATAACTAATTACATTAATAAACATTTAAAATATGTATAACTTTTATAATACACATTTTAAAATTTGAGCAAAATAAAATTAGCTTGCAGTAAACATGGCACAGGCTTTCCTGGTGGCTTAGATGGTAAAGAATCTGCCTGGAATGCAGGAGACCTGGGTTCAATCCCTGGGTGGGAAAGATCCCCTGGAGAAGGGAATAGGAAGCCACTCCAGTACTCCTGCCTGGAGAATTCCATGGACAGAGGAGCCTGGCAGGCTGCAATCCACCATGTTTCGGAGTCAGACATGGCTGAACAACTAACACTACCTAAACACGGCACGGAGTACGACAGGAATGGGATTAAAGAGGTAACTACTTTATGAAAATCTGGAAATGCCCCTCATCACTGCACTTAGAGAAAAGCAAGGATATCAGCCAGAACTTGGAACCTGGCGCTGTCCTCCGTGGACCCCACCCATCCTCTCCCTGTTTCTGGGTCAGGGACTCACAGTAGCCACCGGGAAATGTGGCTTCCATCCCAGGGGAGGGCGCAGAAAACAAAAACAAGTCTACTGTAAACCAGAAAGGAGAGTGGGTCCGACAGACTTATTCCTGTCCGCATTTCCTGTTACTGTTCCCAGGGCCGGCTCTCGAAAGCGAGACACTGACCCAGGAGAATAACCTCCACAGTGAGACAGCCCTCTCTGAGAAAGATCTGCCTCTCTCTCTTCATTTCTTGACTTTTTTTTTTTTTAATTCTGGAGCCAAAGCAAGCTCCAGGTGTCATTTGTGTCCAACACTAACATGTAATATTCTCTTTCCTCTGTTTTCATAAGGCTGTAGAAAGGAAGAGGGAGTTATCCCAGGCCTCAGGAGGGGGAAAGGGAACCCGGAGGCAGTCCCAGAGGGCAGGAGAAAGCCGTGTAATGTTTGCAGAACCAACAGAAATAACGACAACCTAACACTTTGGAAAAGCTAGAGCCATTCTCATTCATGTGTCTGTTTGAAAATGTATGTTTTGTAAGTGCATGTAAGTGATACCCCAAAGACAGATTCAGGAGGCTGGAGATAGGCGTTCACCTAAGTGCAGACTCAGAAAGGATAAAATGATTCCACGGGGGCGGAATGGTGAACTAATGTGTATTACATGTCAAAGTGTCTGCCAGTTGGGTATGTTCTTATAAAGAATTAATGTTTCACTCACATTCAATACAGTTGACTTGCTCCAGTTGAAATGGACCCAGATAGCTATTTATTATCTGAATGGCTTTAACACAGTATTCTCCACCCTGCAGCTGAAGTTATTGAGTCTAACATATGGTATTCATTAGTCAGAATCCTGGAGTGTAATTGTCTAGATTTTAGGCATAAAGCTTGGCAATAAAATTTTGCATTTAAAAAAATAAAATTTGTTTGAAATCGCCAGGGTTCTGCTACCAACACAGTGGAAACAACACCAATTTTCTTTTCCTTTGGCCTAAAATATACATTTCATTGATTTTTTTTTTTCTTTTTTGTATAGGCAGTTGCAGTCAGAAAAGTTAGAATTCCTCTTGCAAACAATTTTTGAATAATATTTAGTATATTTTTTCTGGGGAGTCATTTAGGAAAAAGAACACTTCCTCTTGGAAGTATAGAGAATAGTGATTTCTGTACCTAAAGCATTTAATTCCCTTCCAGCTTTCTCCTCCTCCTCTTTAGCAATTTCTCATTCTACCCTCTTATTTGAGAATTGTTGTTATACAGGGAGAAAACAATGCTAATAGTCAGTAAAAATAATCTATAAAGTCTTTTTCATATAGTTTGAGTTTTAAAGTCCATTTTTATTTACTTAAGTTATTTTCAGTGATGAATCATAATGTCAAGGGCCTAATAAGCAAAACGTAGAATTATTTTTGAAAGTGGGGTCTAGAGGACAGTTTGCTTTTTTCCTAAGTACCTCACTTCCAAAACAGGAAAGTTTTGGATTCTCATTTTTTCCACGATAAATAAACTACTTAAGGTAAATGATAATTAAATATGTTGCTTAAAACTTTACTACCACCAGTCCTGCAATAGTGTAAGGACTATTCAATAAGAAGGTGTCACAGCAAATAACCTAGAGTTTCAAATCATGATATACTTCTATATACTATATATATTTCTTTTTAAAAATTTAGGATTTTTTAAATTCCTACTGAAGTGATAGATATTCTTTTTTTTTTTTTTTCCAGCCATGCCATGCAACTTGCAGGATCCTAGTTCCCTGACCAGGGACTGAACCCATGCCCCCTGCAGTGGAAGTATGGGGTCTTAACCACTGGACTGCCAGGGAATTCCCAAAACATATACATACTTAAAAAGTGAAGTTGTTGTTGTTTAGTTGATAAGTTGTGTCCAACTCATTTGCAACCCCATGGACTGTAGCCCACCAGTCTCCTCTGTCCAGGGGATTTCCCAGGTACAAGCACTGGAGTGTGTTGCCATTTCCTTCTGCAGGGGATCTTCCTGACCCAGAGATCAAATCTGTGTCTCCTGCACTGACAGGCAGATTCTTTATCACTAAGCCACCAGGAAAGCCCCAAAAGTGAAATACTACATACAAGAGAGTGAAGTTGGACTCTTACCTTGCAGCGCAAACAGAAGTAACTCAAAATGCATCTGAAGACCTAAATGCAAGACCTAAAATGTGAGAATTCTTAGACAAAACCACAGGGGGGAGTCTTCACAACACTGGATTTGCCAATAATTTTTTTTTATATGACACCAAAAGGAAAAAATAGATCAAATGAACTACATCAAATTAAAAGCTCTGTGCATCAGAGAACACAATCAACAAAGTAAAAAGGCAACCTGTGGGAATGGAAGAAAATATTTGTAAGTGATATATCTGATAAGGGATTAATATCCAGAATATATAAGGAACTCCTACATTTCAATGATAGCAGCAAAATAGCCTGATCTGAAAATAGGCAAAGGACTTGAATGTACACTTCTCCAAAGATGATTTACAAATTGTCAACACATGTGAGAAAAAATGTTCAATATCACTAACTCATTTGTTGTTGCTGATCAGTCCTTCAGTCGTGTCCGACTCTTTGTGACCCCATGAACTGCAGCATGTCGGGCTTCCCTGTCCTTCACCATCCTCTGGAGCATGCTCAAACTCAT